CGACCCCCCATCAACATGCTCTTAATGTTTCTTTTATGCAAACGTCAATCATGCTTACGTCACTTATATGGGGGGGGGGGTCCACTATTCCGTACACAGATATGGGTGAACCATTTTTGGGTTTTGTAGCAAATTGGTTGGTGTAATACAATATCATTTGCAGAAATTAAAACTAGAAAATACATGCATGCAGAAACCCTCGCCTTGCTGACAAAACCCACAGCGCCCTGCAAAACCGTTGTATTTTCCGAACATGAAGTATCTAAAGTAGTTGTCATGGTAACACGATAATTTTTAAAGAATATTCCTACAAATGAAAAATCGCCTAAAAATATCACTTTTAATTACAAAATTATCAATTTCCCAACATATTTATGTTAGGTATGTAATTATACGTAATACAAGCTTCAATTTAAGGTAAAATTCAACCACAAACAATTCGCAAAACGTTTTAAAGTGTTCTTTATAAAACTAAACTGCCTTTAACTATTAAATGGCTTTATCGATAAACTTTGAGTTTGCAATAAAATGATTTCAAATTCTCGCTTGCAAATAACTTTGCTTTATTTTTATTTAAAAAATTCAATATAATAAAAAAGGGAATCAATATTAAAGATACACTGAAATTATATGCTGTCTTGTTTAGTAGTTTCATATACGCAAAGGCCGTCGGGTTTTAAAGCCATTATAAAATCAATATTTAAAACAAACTTACCTTTGTTAACGTCGGCTCCCTTCTTTTAGCTGATTCTTTCGCCCTTTCTTTCTTGAAATTTACAAAATCTTGCAGAAATACGAGCAAAAATGAAGAATATTTGCAAGAAATTTGTCAATCATCAACTCATCAAATCAAGAAATGTCAAATGTTTGCTATTTCGCTGTCGTCATGCAGCCGTTATAATGCAAACTTTAATTTGGACCAATCAGTGTCCGCTTTTAATGACAGTCCGCCATATTTTTGAGATCAGTGAGGATGACCACCCATCGTTGGTGACCGACGCCCGCGCTCATTGATGAACTTCAGACTTCCCTAATGCTTTCGTTTCTCCGGGTGTAAATAGCCGGGGGGAATTAGTACCCTCGCACGGCGCTTCGCGCCGCCGGCTCGGGGATTACTCTGTGCCCTGACTATGAAAATGTATTTACTCCTAAGTAATATTCATTTAACAAAAAAGAATTGTTACTGAATTACAGTAATCACATTGTACTAATTAATTATTAATTAATTAATCAATCATTAATGTATTATTAATTTGTTAATTAATAATTAACCCTTCATCACATTTCTATGTAACAGGCAAGAACAAGGATCTTGAAGTTGACATGGATGACGATTTCTTAGATATGGTCACAAGATCCAATATTCCACAACCCGAATTTTCCGAGAAACAGTTAGCATCACAGAACACCCAAGAACAACTAAAAGACGGACCGAGATAAATAGTCAACTATATAGGAAAGTACTTTTTGCTAGAAATATAGCTGTCATACAACTGCCCTCTAGGAAATGAAGGTAGTATAATCGTAGTGAGTAAAACAGACTCGCACGAATATACAAGGATTCATCAATATTTTCTCAATTTTTGACATGCGTGTACTTTTGAAGTAGACGAACAAGCTGAGATCTTCCTTATCAGAAACCTACGTTTACATATTGCGTTCTGTTGGACTAATTTTAGAGAAAACTGGATTGAACAACATCATAAAAACTGTCATGTTTCATCACCAGCTGACAAATGTATATTGATTAACACTCAGTGCGCCTTAAATTGGGAAGACAAATCGCAGTGTAACCGTTTCCATAACACAACAAATTTTTGTATGAAATACTCATTGCGTAGTTGTCTGCAACTATACTCTTTGAAGAAGAACGATAAACTTACAGGCGTCTATATATTTTTAATGAATTCAAAAAGTTCAAAAATCATTTGTGTTTCGTCCAAACATTCGACCAACGAAATTAAATAAACTGAACTAGCTACTATATGAACATTTTCACGATATATTTTATCTGCTATATTGAATTTTCCCTTTCATTAATTAAGATGAAAAATTGCCCAGTGTCCAGTAATTCATAGAGAAAACAAATGTGTTTATCTGACAGATTATATGGACCGGTATACTATCGATTAATTTCAAACCACTTTTGTACCAATAAATTAAACAAGAAATAAAACAAGAAATAAACGTATTACGCAGTGATAGCAATTCTTAAAATGGCATCTCATTGTATATTTATCAATTATATAGACGTACCATTGGCCGGTGGTACGGTTGTATAAAAAAGTAGTTAATGTGAACTATAGTTATAGTGCGAAAGTTAACCAATCCTGATCATGGATTTTGGAGTTAACTATAATTTAACTGCGAAATGGGTAGTTAATTAAAAAGTACGTACGAGTTTTATACATTCAACCAGTCCCTGGAACACAGTATTTGATAAAAGATTGCCCTGAGAGATAAACATATAGTCGTACGAGGGAAAAAAATTAGGGGGAGGGGGAATTGACCGAACATTACAAAATGTTTTCCGTCGTGGGAAGGGAGCTCACTGATGGCAACAAATTTTCGGGGGTGGCAGGAGGGGGTGGGAGAAAATTCGTAAGTAGAAAATATGTCCGACTTCATATAGGTTTTTTTTCCATTGGGGTTTGGAGAGCTAGATTCGTAACTTGAGGTTTCACAGACAGGAGTACTGCATTTCAAGGCGGGGGTTTCCTGCAAAAATTGTCATCATAACCATAGTTATGATTTACAACTGTTGTACACATGTATTTTGGGGAGTCAAGCAAGCCGTTGACAACTTGTCAAAAAGCTGAGAAAAGCAGTGCGAACACAGCAATTGGCGGTTTAAGTCTGTTTTTGGTTTATACAAAAAATATCACCGATATGGTCGAAAAACTGCCCTCATCCCCCCCCCCCAAAAAAAATACTATTAAAAAATTTAAAAAACGAGTAAAATTTAAAAATAAAAAACGCCCTCCCGCCTCTGAAAATTTGTGAGAGTGTGACGCTAACCAAGTATTTTTTTTTTATTTGGCCTTATCACTTCTACACACGTAAAAACTCACACCTTGACAATAGTTGTGTTCGCAACAGACTTATAGCATCACTATAAAGTCCAAACTTGTCAACTAGTTGTCACAAATCACAATGCTGTTATTTTATCAAGTTGTCACAGATTATAACATGTTGCTGGAGTCTTTTGAGTCTACAACATTGTAGCAAGTTGTCAGCAAGCTTTTAACAGATTGTCAACAAGCTGGGAGCAACGATGACAAGTTATTGAAACATTGCTACAAGTCTTTTGCAGGTTTGTTGTGCAAGTTGCGCGTTTTGTGTGTGTACAACAGTTGCAATCATCACGTTTACACATGACAGACGCAAAAGAAAATTATTGTTACTCACAAATTTTATTAATATGATCGAGCTACATTGATTTCAAAATAATTTAGTTATGTAAATATTAAAATACTCATTAATAATTCATAAATCTTGTGGCAATCATGTCAGCCATAATATTAATATGTCACGTGGAATGACTTTATATCTGATAAAACTGATCTTCATTATATTCTTTATATAATTGTTCATCCTAATTAGCATTCTTTTGTAGTCGTATTTTAACCTATTCAAAACACTCGTTTACATCTGATAAAACACACCTACTCGTGTTTTAAATAGTACTTATACGGATATTGTGGCAAGTGGGTATCTAAATATTGGGTAACTCAAATATACAAACATTGTCTGAGAGTGGACCAAAACACCCTCAAACCTGTTTGCACTTTTCCAATTCACCTTTTCTTATTGGCTATAGTTGTCCTTTTTCCTTTATGTCCCCCGCCCTAATCGGACGAATTCTTGAAAAGAGCCTGATGTACGTAAAATTGATTAAACGTTTACATCAGTATAAATTGAATTGCAGTAATGGTGTTCGACGCAAATGTTCCACATTCCACTGTGTACATGACGATCTAGATTGGTTTCTTTCATCAACCATTTTAGGCACAGTTTTTGTTGTTTGGCATTTGACGATACACAAACGGGACAAAAGCAACTAGCAATTGAGTAAACCAGTTGTTAGACGCTTTTGTCTTGTTCGATAATCGTACACCCTCCGTGTAGCTAAATCCATAAGCACGACTGGACGTGATTCATGGTTGTTCATTCATATTGTTCTTGATTTCTGAAATGTCCACTATCGTTAAACTAGAATAGACATTGAAAAATATTAATGTTACGTGGAGGAAGTTCCTTGCGGAGAGTTCTAAGTATAAAATTCGGCTAGGGCCTAGGCTGTTTTAGTTTATGTTAGGAATATGAATTTTACTAGACAGGCGGAAACTGCTTTGCGCCGTTTTGAGACTGTGCTCGTGAGGGTTAGGTTAGGTTACTCAGGTTAGGTTTTGAAACTCTCAGAAGAGCAATCACAGTATATATTTTTAAATTATGGCTCTTTTTCGTACATTATGCTGCTGGGCATTGATTTTTATCATACGGTTACGATTTCCGCCTGGTTCTTCCTCGCAAGCCTCGCAACTATTAGAAAAGGTTAGATTAGGTTCAGTTAAATTGGATCACATGTACGTTGGTTAAGTCAGGTTAAATTGTAAGTTAGGTTAGGTTTGGTTAGTAATCAGCTGAACATTTTCGTTGGGGTTATGGATACAACTACATCTAAAAATTTGACAACTTCATGAATTTTAAGTTACCGTACGCTGATGGGATTGCGTCTAATGATATTCCTAACCCACCCTGCGAACTTTCCGTGCGAGAAGAAACGGTCTCAAACGGAACAACCCGGAGAAAATCCACGGTCTTCTCAAGAGATCTAACTGACTCTAATGTGAATCAACTCTTTATATAATTCTACATTTTTGGGTACGGAATAACTGAATCGAATTAACTCGCGATATCAGAGAAAATTCAGTCAACGCAAACATATATAAACATAGTGTTAGAGAATCCTTTAACCCAAGTGTATTTGTTCATCAGAGATATAGTCTGCCCGAAATGGCGCGCTTTACTACATTTTCCATCACCGGAGATGGGTAAAACGTTTAAACAGATGTATATGCGACGACCGATACAAAATAGAAACTTCTTTACTTTAAACGAAGTGATTCAGCTTCGTTAGTTAATACGATAATTCACCCTAATTCCTACTATAATTTACGTTGTTAAATTAAGCATGCTATTTACAAAACGAGGCTACCTACCATAAAAACTTCATACTAATATACCGTACTACCTTAATATCCTTTAAAATGTGTTTCCTTGACTCACTCTCTTGACAGGCGCTGTACCTATAAAGTATAGCTTAGTTCAAATGGCTTTCCTTTATATATGTGAAGGATACTCGGATAGGCCAAAGTGATTTTCGCATTAGAGAATGTACATATCTAGCTTGCTAGATCACCGGCGCTCAAGCGTATTCTAATGCTTTATGGTGCATGAAGAAATGTTTAGGTTACCCGCCATGTCGAGTGGACTAGCCAATAGCGTGCAAGCTGGAGAGATATTTTCGCATGACATCATGTAGCATATAATTTTCGAAACATTAGGTCATTTTAGTCATATTTTCTTAAAAGGTTTGCCTGTACAATTTTGCACAAAAATCAAGTTACATGTGTACAAGTAGATTTTGTTATCCGGAAAAGAAAGTGAATCAACATAAGATTTTTATTTGGTTTTTCAAGATTTTAAAATGGGTCATGCTCTGGTGACTTTGACCGTTCTCACGAATGGGCAGGTGGGACGTTCTGCTTCGATGATCCGTTGTGTATAATTTACATCGTTCAGAAGTAGCTGAGACTGCTGAGTACGGCTATGAAAGTTTCTAATTTATACGTCTTAACCATAAATCGAGAGATAAGTCACTAAGGAGTAAACTAAGAGTAAATCCTTAGGAAACCATCCTAACTGGAATCAGGAACCGATTGTATAATGGCCAGGCAGTGGTAAATTTCAAACTTTTTCTTCATATGTCGCTGTCACAATTTAGACAGAGTCAGAGTTCATGGCAAATGGTGATAATTCACTTTTCTATATGTCGCCATTTCAATGCAATGGCTCGGCATCTGTCGGAGTATGCAGGGCCTCGACACTGGACGACCACGGCAAAAAAACGCCGAGCCCGCTGCTCAACAGGATTGAATAATGTTTTGGTGCCCACGTTGTTCACAGTTGTCACCAATATTTAACAATTTGTTGAGCCTGAATCGGGTGTAACAATATTGTTCAATACTGTTGACAACTGTGAACAAATAACAATGTGGGCAGCAAAACATTGTTCAATCCTGTTTTCATCAGTATTGCAAGGTCTTGCAACAACCTGATCGTTTTTTGCCGTGTAACAGATGACCTTTATCAAGGAGCTCTAGGAGAATAATTTAGAATTGATAGAGCAAGGTATTAACCCTGGGTACGAGGTTGGGTATTAACCCCCAGAAACTATTTCTAAAACTTCTAATATAAAAGCCACATGTAGTTTCCCGACCCATACTTCCATCGAATCCCATCCATCTCAATTTTCTTGTGCTTTGCTACTATTATCTAGCTAGAGTTTAGAACAAAAGCACTGATCTATATATAACATACGTCTGGAGAATAACGTACTCCCGCGCACGCCAGTCAGGTTGGTCTGCGGTATATACCATTGTTAATTTGTTAGTGTCGTTAGGTACTTAGGTGTCGTTGTTTTGTTGTGGTTTGTTTACATTTTAAAGGTTTGTTTACGGATAAACAACAATGTCTTGGGTTGAATGTTGTTCGTCGAAGTTATTGCCAATCCTTTACCAGAACATTGCTGAGATGTGGGACATGAGACAACTATGCGATGTTGAAATCCAAGGCTGTGATGGCAAATCGGTTGGAGCTCATCGTCTTGTACTTTCGGCCATAAGCCCTTACTTTCGTAGCATGTTTACAGGCGATTTGTGCGAAAGCCGGCAGAAAGTCATAAAAATGGAGAACATTGAAGGAGACATCTTAGCAACACTTGTTAGATTTGCTTATTCATCGAAACTTGAAATAAATAACGCAAATGTTGAAGGCCTTTTAGCTGCTTCTAATCTACTTCAAATTAAAGAGGTCGAAAAAATGTGCTGTGACTACCTACAAGCTCAACTGCATTCATCCAATTGTCTTGGAATATGGGCCTTAGCTGAACACCACCATTGTCGGGAGTTGTCAGCTTATACTTTTAAGTTCATCTTAAAAATTTTTTCCATGGTTTGTCGAGATGAAGAATTTTGTTGTTTGTCTTTGAAGGATGTTAAAATTATCTTGAATGATCCAAATTTATCTATAAACTCAGAGGAAGAAGTTTTTGAAGCTGGTTTAAGGTGGATTGAGTCAAGTGGCAAGCACGAGGTGTACTTACCAGAGATCTTGGGCTGCGTTCGTTTAGGGTCGTTAACACCGAACTATCTCAGGGAAACTGTTTTGACTAGCAGTCATGTTAAGGAAAACTTAGTTTGCCGGGAAGTTGTTGAAAGTGCATTAGAGTTTGCTTTATCACCTCTGTCTGAGAAGCAGAAAACTACAGGGGTATTATCTCACAATGCTTCTCGGATTGCGGAAGGTTACGGGGATGAGTTGCTCGCAATGGGTGGGTTGAATGGCAGTGATGCTGTTGGCACTGTTGAGAAGTACAACATGTACACAGACTCGTGGGAAGTTGCATCGGACATGCCGACAAGCAGATATGGTGTTGCCATAGCGAAGTTACATGGTACAGTTTACTGCTTGGGTGGGTGTACATCAGGGATATTTTTGGATATTGGGGAATGTTATGATACAGAACTGGACACCTGGCAGAGTATGAGTTCCATGTCCCGACCTCGGAAGTACCTTGGTGCAGCTCAGTCCCACAATAGGATTTTTGCAATTGGAGGAACCGACGGTTATACTAAGCAGAGTTCTGTTGAGAACTTTGACCCAAATAGAAACGAATGGATACCCTGTGCACCAATGGAAATGCCTCGCATGTATGTTGGCACAGCAACCATTGGAGGGTTAATTTATGCAGTTGGCGGACATGATGGCGTCAAGAGGTTGAAAAGTGTTGAGTGTTATGATGTTGTTAATGATTGTTGGTTGCCAGTTAGTCCAATGGGTAGGTATATTAATAGAATTCACAAACTATTTCAAAAAATAATTAGTAGATAATTGGTTAGTTTTCATGTTTATGTTATAGACAGTGAGAGGTCAGTAGCTGGGGTTACAGCAATGGATAATGTTATGTACTGTGTTGGAGGATTTGACGGATCTTCTCATCTCAAGGATGCTTGCATGTATGACCCACGCATTGACAAATGGATGGCAATTGCTAATATGAGTCAACCCAGGTATCACTGAAAGATTCATTGTGTTTTGTGAGATTCACCCCCCTCCCCCTAAACCAAAAGGAAATTTGAACAAGAGTGGCTCAGTCCCCTTCAGCTCCACATCCACCATGTCTACACCCCAGCTTCTTTTGTTTCAAATAGTTCCTTTGTATTCTTTTCAGATCTTCATCGTGCTTGGTGGCCATGAAAGGTCGACTGTACGTTCTTGGTGGATTTAACGGTCAATTCCTCCAATCCGTCGAAATGTACGATCCCAAAGCTAATTCCTGGGAACTAGTGGCAGATATGACAATAACTCGGGTGCATTTTGGTGCTTCTGTTGTGTGAAATGTACAGTACATGTAGCATTTAGTATTGACTGGCTGCAGGGTGCGATAATCCACGTACCGGTACTTGCTTTCGTGTGCATGCGTACCATATGAGGTACGCCAATATTACGGTCTGGTACTTCTTGGCTTGGCACCAAGTACCACGTCGGCACGCGGAATTCGCATTATCTGCGTACTTACATCTTGCTGGTACCATATGACCAGCACTATGTGACTATGTACATGTGGAGTCTTAACTTTGTATCAGATTGAGTACGCGGTACCAGTACCAGTGAGGTACAACTAAGAATCTTGAATTATCGCACCCTGTGGCATCAAAATAGTATCTAGACCTGGAAAACAGTGGGACCTCGGAATCCTGAATGCTGAGAAACATTTTCAATTACTCACGCAAGTCATGATTTACCATGAGGGGATCACACAGAATCATACTTCATATACACAAATATATAAAATATATCTAAATGTGTAAAGGTGGACGGCTGCATGTCAATCTTATCTCGTGAATAAGCGCACAATAAAAATCAATTATTTGTACGTTGATTAATTAAAGAAATGAACCAATTTCAGAGATATGTGGTATTGTTTTTAACGTGATTGAACAACTATCGTTAAACATGCAAACGAATCCATATATGAACATAACAACAATTATATCCAAAGTCTGTGATAATCGGTTAGATAGTAGTTAACGGTACATTGTCATTGATCAAAGTCCACAAAGACTTATCTTGTTGACCTGGTCGGCTGGTCTTGTGCCCATAATGTATATTCAAACACACTTATGAAACTATATATATATTGACTATGTTAGGTAGGTTTATGTGGATTCAACGATCCTTAAATATGTTTTTGAATGCAAACTTCGAAAATAGTTCATCAGACATAAAACTAAGCATGTTGAAGAGCTGGCTCAAGAAGTCTAAGTGCCACGCATTCTCGACTGTTAAGAGCGCACTTATGTTAAATTCTCAAAAGTCTTATCAGTCTGTAACGGACAATGTCGTGACCTTGGTTAATGAATTGAAATAGTGGCTCTCAGCAATTTTTCACTTCAAAGATACAAGTGTGTTTCCTGTACAGAGATGCCGCGGAATTTATGATCAAATTGATAGCCAATTGCACACGCTGACGCGCAACTTACTGTATTGGTGGTACAGTCGTTACAAGTGCATGTACACACCCAGTCGACCGTGGGAAAACATCATCCAGATTCACTTTACCATGACCGCATATGTTCAGCCGATATTTATACTCACAAGAACCTTTAGTTTGAAAAGAAAACCCTAATTAATCACCCCATTTCGGCCACGTTTTCGACTGGGCCTTAGCTGTAGTACGTCGTCGCGGAAGGATTCTGTTCAATTGCCCAGTACTGAGCCCTTATAAAATAAAAAAAAATTAGAACTGTTACCGTACATGACAGATATAATTGATACAGCTATCCTCCTTCCCTAGTGACATGAACAAGGAATGTCAAAGGGATTTTGAATCCGCGGGCAAACCTGATACAACTTTAACCCACACCAGCCGACATGTTCAAAGAGACCCAACAATGTTACACTCACTGATCTGTGGTTGCACCCAAAAAGCTTGAACAATGTTAGGTAAACCGGCAATGCCGGTTCAACTGCTTTGAACAAGCCTTAACGGCTTAAGAAATAGCTTTTATACGGGCCTAAAGCCTGGTTTACTCTATTAAAGCTTCTGTGATCACAGTTGGAATTTTGCATAGGTAAATTCTTTGTTTGGAAAGATTTGTAAGAAATGTTTGAGGTGGTCAACACTGACTTAGTTCCCTCAAACATTTCTTATAAATCCTTCAAAAGAAACTTTGATAGTGTAAACCAACCAGCCTTAAGGAAAGATGTTTCGACAGAACTGAAAAAACTATACAATATAAATAACCTCCCCTGTTGTTTTACTTCACCAAAAAGTGATATCACTTACTGGATCTCTAGGTTTAGGCCGCTTAGGTTTCCCTCTACTTTAATTAATTCTGGACTAATAAAGGATGACTATTTCTGTACCTCAAGGGGGAACAGTTTAGTTTATATTTGATAGAATTGTCCGGAGTATAAATAAATTTGTTTAATGTAGCTTATTCCAGCTGACCTTTGGCTAAACCAACCAAATCAAACCTTGGCCATTTTTTATCTGCGCGACACCCTGCCAAACATCGCATAAACAGTTTTTGATGCATGTCTAAATACACACGCATTCTGTCATCGATATCAAGTGATGTAAATAACGCTGACAGATGGATGATAAATGATTGCAGACTCACTTAGTGCTGTCGATGTTATCTTGGCATGTGATCATTGTATCTCCTCCTCTGCATAATCTGCGGGACAACTTCCGGATAGCGAGCCATCGTCCAGTGTTTCAAACGATCATCGCCTTCAATTATAGTCATCCAGTGCATTACGTATTTACGTAAACTTTAATCAACTGAAGATTGAACGCAAAAATTGAAAGAACAATAAATACCGTATAGCTCATTTTATAAGAGTAGTCGATATGGAGGATAGGGCTTAGATTGTACAGTACCTGGCAGGTCTAACCAGCATATCCACCTGAAGGAATTGGCTATCCAGGGAAATGACAATACAACTCTTGTATTTTATCGTAACAAACGGCGACTATCTGGTTGAAACGCTCACCCTGGTACTCTTTATTTATACCACGTCTCATCATAAGTTTAGTTTTTTCGTTTGTTTTTCCTCCATGATCACAGCTGTTTAAAATATGTGGCTGTAGAACTGTAACACCCACACAATTCCCATGCGTCGTATAATAAGACTACTCATTCACATTTTCTACACTCAGATTCGTGACTTTTACCAATAAAACTTCCATGCTAGCATTTGTCAAGATTTCGCCCAGTACTAGCTTGACAATTCCTGATAGTGAAGTACCCTTGCAGTGACGTAACAAACGGTCATGTTCAAATACTACCGCCGGTCTAAGCCCTTCGCTGGAATCCTATTTACGTTCATCTACTATTGAAAATGACTTGAAATCGATTCTTTTGTGTTTTTTTTTCTCTCCATTTGAGGCCATTCTGAATAATTATAGACTCGAGTGGAACTCTCAACAATCGAAAGTCCCCGATTTGTTGCAACCCTCCTTGAAGCAATTATAACTTTTAAATTTGATACATCGTCCATGCATGCAATGATGCAAATAGCTACGATGACTTTATAATACATAAATCTTCTGGAAAAGCTTGTTGTATTAAACTAATACTTTAACTTGACTGTACTTTCAGACACTTGAAACGTAAAAGCTTCGAGTGGTTTTCAAAAGATGATTGTGACAAGGTATCCTAAAACTAGCAAAAAGACTCACGAAATATGAATCAAGACTGGATGGGCAAATGCACATGTTCACTAAATTCCTGGGATGTAGTGGGGGGGGGGCACAGGGGTTCTTTTTAAACTTTCAGTTTGAAAGAACACGACGACTGAAAAAGCCCTTGAAATTTTGCAGAAATTTAAAATGTTGCAGATATGATCGAGAAAGAAAACCTGCTTGTCCTAGTATTGATGGTTTCAGTAAGAGTAACTCTTCGCTTGAATGATTTTTTACTATTGTATATATTGCGCTATTGTAATTCAATTTTTATCTAAAATAGTCTATTAAATTATACAAATGTAAATAAACAACAACAGTATTATCAGGGACGCCGGAACGTTGTGAAGGCAAGGGGGGGCAGATTTTCGTGAAAGGGCACTTTTGAATTGATATATACTAAGAGATGTTTGCAAAACATCGGGAGTTGAACTTCGCCTAACCATGTTTTCTATTTATTGGATGATAGGGGTGTGAGGGGTTTCTCCGCCAAGCGATTGTGCTATTCTTGAAGCTCGATGGCTGCATTTCTTGCGTTTTCTGAAGCAAATTCGTAAAAGAATCTCACTAACATTTCTGACAATTCGATATTTCGCCAAGGCAATCCTTTAAAGTGAAAGGGCACCTTTGCCCCCCTTTCCCCTCCTGGTAAAGGGCAACGGGGGCGGCTGCCCCTCCTGCCCCCCAGTTCCGGCGTCCCTGAGTATTATACGAAGCCGTCATATTTCTAAATTCGTCAGTGGAGCGTCCATCATGCGTACATTAAAACCTGACCCTGGAACCGACTCTTCTGAACACTCTTCTGAACTAAGTTATTTTTTCCTTTTTGCTCGCCATCTTCGCGCAACACGTAAAATATTTGTGCTACATTCAATAGTTTGTACGCTGTCAACTCAATTAAAACATTTCAATTAAGTTGCTAGAAAGGTCGCCGCCCACTTGGAGCGTTTATCGCGCATTTTTCATGTCACAAATCATCAGCGCGCAATCGGTTAATTTCACGTTACAACGATACGTCCATCATACGAACGGCGTGCGCGCAGTCAAACTGATATCAACCGAGATAATCGCGGCTACAGATGCAAGGTAAGTTTAACAACTGTAAATTTAACAACACTGATAAAGCAGACGAAGACCTATTTGAAATAACACCTTTAATTTTGCGTCTCTCTTGAATCGTGGCTCGAGCTGAAATTTTCGTTGCTAACCTCGTTACCATTCCTCTATAGTTTAGAGAAGCATAAAATAGAATAAAGATACCTAGCTTAGCATTAGAATTATGTATAAGATTCTTCTCTCATGTAGAGAATTCTAAAGCTAATTAGTTACCTTTGTTCTATTCTATGCCGCTTCTGTGAGCTAGAACAATAGTGACTAGTCATGTATCTAAAAATGTGAATTTGGCGGTGTAAAGTACAAACCGGCTTAAGGCTATAGTTTCCACTCAGGAAAATTATCCGTGGATTGGAACGGACAAGAACATTTTTCTTTGTGTTAAAGTCATTAGTTCCAACCTAGAGCTCACAAGACAAAGAAAAATTTTCTTATCCGTCCAATCCACGGATAATTTTCCTGAGTGGAAATTGGCCGTTAGCCAAATTGTCTACTTGTATTGGCGTGCGTCACCGCAAATTTAAATCCTCAATTGCGATGCCCAAACGAAGATTGGCATCGTTTTATATTCGCTGCCTGATCGAGTTTGTTAGTCTTTAGTTTGTCAATCATAAGCCTTGGTATTTATTCAAAAATAGTAGGTCTTCTCGCTTGTGCAAGCGAGAAGACCTACTACTTGTTTTACGCATGCACTAGCGCACTGCACTGCGTACAGCCTTCTGTTTTTATTTTTTGTAATTTTGATTTCTTTGCTTACCCTAATTGACCATACAACTAAAAAAGTGATGCACGCGTAGAATGCATGTATTCACCCAATTCAAGACAGCCCATGTTAACATGCGCAAATTCTAGCCGTTCTAGCATATATAGGCGCTAAACCGACGCACGCCACTAACACTTAACAAAATACGAAAAAGGTGTATTATATTGACGAACTCGACAGACCTCATGTTGCAACGAATGTAAAAAATCGCCAACAGTGTTAAACTGCATAAAAAAACTCGCTAAACGTCGGAGAAATAATCGCTAAATGGCGAAAACAAACAAGACGTTTAAGCAATTCGTCACGCTTGTTTTCCAACAGAGAAAATCCT